ATTTACCATTCTCGAATTATGCCCTATCTATTAATCACTACCTCCCACATTCATTGCCACATTTGACCAAATCTTGTACAAATGTTGTTTCATATTTTATGGTACGGTGTGGTCTGTTTGATTGGTATATAAACCCAGTATGTTTAAAATAAATGATTCATATTGCAGAGGCTGAGCTAGGTACGAGGCAGGACTGATAACTACTCTAGACTGCTCGCACGAGGATTTATACGTCATTGGTTCAATCGATAATCCACTGCTCTCTAATTGACGATATCATTACGTTACACATTAACAGGGAACATAGGCCACAAGTTATAACACCCTGATATACACTTATCATACATTTGATTACTTACAGTAACTTAGGATAAATTATTAACTGTGAAACTGTAAAATAAAATCAAAATTCATGCAAACTCAACGTATATTTCTGTTTTATCAAATTTAGTCAACATTTATATTTTCCTGAAATGAACTAAAACAGAGTTACGTTCCAGTTTAATGTAACATGATACCAGTAAAGTTTCACTGTATCATTTACAAATATAAGAGGCTACAATAATTCAAAACAATGAAATTGGTCTTTATCATCGAATGTGATTGGTAAACGCTGATATAACAAACAATTCTAATCATAATTGTCTTTATCATTTCTATACACTCACTTTATCTTATACAATTAGTATCTATGATTTGAAAATTGACTGTATTTTATCCTGTTTAGTAGTGGACAACTAATAACGATTAATATTTTAATAATATTGCAGAACAGTCAGTATTCGTATTTATTATTTATTTATTAATTTGAGCACATAAATACTGAAACAAGGGAGCACCAGATACATATGTGCCACACAAATCTCATTTGACATGTGTGAGGACTTTGATACTACCCGGGTGCCCAAACCAAAACAGGTGGGTTTTTTAGGGGACCACACACGGAGCATTCGACCTAAAGATCTGATCCACAAGGTAGTGAAGCATCGTAAGGAGATGCAGTCCTGTGGTAGCCGGTAACCAACGATTGGTTCACATGCCATTTTTCCCTCAGGATACTGGAGCCCAAGTACATCACTGGTTTGGAATCAGGGTTTTCCAACTCCCCTACGTGAACTCTCCGTGTCCACCAACCCGGACATTCGCTTTTCGTCCTCTCAATTTTGTATACCTCCCAGTCGCAATAAGGCAGTGAGTAGGACTTTCCTGACAGAGGCTATACACGCGTGACTATAAGACAGCATTTGGCAAGGGAAAGAAAACTCTCCCCACTCTCGGCCGTACCATGGCATTTAGTGACAGTCCTTTAGCTTTAATATGACACTTCTCAGCTGTGTGCATTCACGAAGTTTTACTTGAAACGGAGTTCAAGATTTCTAGATCTTACGAAGAGTGCTTACACTTTAGACCCATGTGGTTACAGTTTGATTCATAATCTTAACTAAATTCTATCCTGATTAGTTTCATTATCAAATGCTGATTATTAATTAATACATACTTCATGTTAGAATGAAGTTATAGCTTAGTTTAATTGAAAATAACATAGTTTTGTAATATATCTCAGTATGTGTTAAATAATTAGAATAATGAAAACAAAGGAAGTAAATGACAGTAAGCGGAATGAAATAAGTAATAAATTACAATGATACAACGTTACAAACTGCTAAATTTTGTTATACAGTATAAAAGGTGAAAATAATACAAAATAGAATAACGAAGAAGATGGTTAGTTATGAAAGGTGATTCCTAAAGTTCTTATTAAGAAGCTGTGAATAGAGGAGTTGATCTACGTCGTGATGCTTTTACTTACTAATAAAACAGAAAGATAGTTGATCAGTTTTGTGAACTGACTAAGCTTGGAAATATGAATAGTTTGATGAGGTCTCAGCGACCTGGAAGATAAATTATGACTCTGAGACATGATGTATCCGTGATTTGTCAATGGTTGAATCGTACATGTACACTGTCAAAGGAATTCCACACTAAAACTAAGTACTTGTTTAGTGCTTTCTGATTTTTAATGGTTTTTTGACAAAGATTGGTCAACAATATAAACTGTAAACTACATTAACAAAGTCCCTATATAAATGTTGCATCTGTTACAGACTGATCAATGTTGAGGTCCCATATAAAACTACGAACTGCTGAACGTCTAGTTACTTTTAGAATAGGACTCCTGAGTCATACGCACTAATGATCTCACTAATGATCAGACTAAGGACCTTCAGGTTTAAGAGAAAATAGTCAAAAATCGGAATGGTATAATTTTGATTTCTTTCAAATTGTGATAGTTCAGGGCTATCGTTTCAATACCCCTGTTAATAACTGCCTCAATCCTAATAAATCTGGTTTTCAACAGTTACGATTTCCTACTAAAACTTAAGGAAGATCTTGCAGTAAATCACTAGGGAATTGACTATTATGATTTAATTAAAGGGCTTTTATGTAGATTAGTTTAATTAGTAGGTTGCGTTTGTCCAGTTCACTTTGAGGTAAGAAGGCCATGCATGCGACCGTTAATGAAGCCGTGAATTAACACAGGTAACGAGTATCGTACTAGACCGAAACATCTTTTAAATAATCCCTATTTTCTAATGATCCTTTAGTGAAGATCAATCAGTGTTGAATACGACCCACAATCTTAAGAAATCTTCACGGGACATTTTCAACTGAGATATTGAATAATCAATATTATTTATTGGAGTCAAAGAGATTCTCAATTTTTTCCTTTGAGACGATTAACGCTTAGCTTTTAATATTCCTGAATGATGACGAATGAAACTGAATATTTGTTACTTAAATTTGTTGTTTACGATGATTTTAGGTAAAATCTCGAACTATGAACAACTCATTTCTTTCAACAGTTTAAATCATGAGTCAGTTGAAGCTAGATCACCATGGGGAACTTGGAAGCGCTGGGCGGCCGTTTCGTCCTAATATGGAAATCCTCAGCAGTGCGCATCCACAACCTCGCCCCTTGCGAGATTCGGACCCAGGACTTATCAGTCTCACGCTTAACCATCAGATCACTGAGCCGGCCGGTATCTAACGGTGTTAATGTCTAACTTCAACTAGCCAGTTTCAATTGACTCATGATTTGAACTCTTGAAATTAATAAAAACCTCCACAAAACCCCTTCTGATAGCTCTTTTTTTAATTAGTAATAGGATATCTTATATGTTTGTTAATATGCTTAAAAGTAACCTTTTTCAATCTGATATATCAACTAGAACACCGTTGGATGCTAACCAGCTTAGTAGTATACAGGTTAAGCGTTTGCGTTCGAGACTGATTAATCCTGGTTTCAAATCCCGAGGGTGAAGTCATGGGTACGCATTGTTAAAAGGTTCCATGTTAGGGCGGAACTGCCATCTAGTGCTTCCAGGTTTTCCATGATGGTCTACTCACAAATTCAACTATTATATATATATTACATCGTTTTGATCTATACAAAATCTTGAAGAAACTTAAAGTGAACATTGATTTGGTCAATAATTCCTATTACTATTGAATTATTAAAACAAAATTATTTGTCGCCTCAATAAATGGTTCATGAATTCTAATCAATAAAGTTGTTTTGTTTTTTTAATTTTCGAATAAAATTCAATGACAAAGCGCAACATTTCAAATGTAGTAGACACACTTTGTTTTGAATAATTCACTATTGTATCCATGTGTAAAAATAAAAAGAGAATTCAATAAAGCAGATCTTTTTTTACTTCTAGACGAAATCATTTATTTAAGCTGTATCTATGTATTTAGTATAGTAAATATATGTCTATAGAATGCTAGAAAAGATTACATCATAAAGTGATTCAAGACTTTAGTGGAGTTTTGTTCTGTGAGCTGGATGGTTTGGTCTTGGAACTTTCAGTGTTCATCTGAACGATATCATCAGCACAAACTTCAGGTAGAAGTGAAGTGTTCGGACTTCTCCACATTTGATTCAAAGCTTGTCTTCTACACGTCAATGTTGATTGATTCTCGTTGATTGTATTTCCCATTAGATTGCTTTTTATTTCTATGTTTGTACATCATTCTCATGATTGGTTGATAAATTGGATCGATTTCAATGTGCTTATTGATTGCTGATTGTCCTGGGTCTCAATGTTCAAAAAATCCTCTGGTGTTTTTGGAATCACCTCTATCCGAACTTTCCACGTTTTTCCATTCGAAAGTGTGTCCGCAGTGGTTCACGTGTATTGATATAAGTGAAGACATGTCATGGCGTTTGACTGCTAATTAATGTTCATGCAGGTGAATATGAAAAGGGCGTCCGTTTTGTCCGATGATTCAAGACTCCAATTATCAAATGAGGTAACATAATAACCAGAAAGTTGAAGAAGGATATATATATATATATATATATATATATATATATATATATATATATATATATATATATATATATATATATATATATATGGATGAAAAGAAGTTACAGGTGAGAATTATGGAAGATAATTGTTCATAGAAAATGGTATTAAGATCAAGGAATGATAAGAGATTGAATGTATCGTTTACACATATAGAGTTTCAGCTTGAATTGGTGGATAGCCATCGCCTCAGCAGTTCATAAGTTTTTTTTTATTATTCATGATAATATCAGTCTGGATAAACAAGGCAAATTCTATTCAAGAAATAAATTTCAATTAGACAAGTTAATGTCACCTTTTAATGAAGTAAACGGAATATACCTATCGTTACATAAATTAAGAAAGATTGATTCAAAGAAGAGTTCTGTTTTAAGAGAATTCATTTACAAGTCTGTACAACTTTAAATGTTTGCAGTGGTGTTCATTTGCAGCCTTACCGATAGGTGAACCAAAGAATATCGATTCTCACGAACGATATACAATTTCTTATCCCCCATAAATCGATTAGCGATATTGCTTAATCATTATTTATAATCAATGATGGTCATCAATATTTACAAATCTCTTTATAGTAATTTAAAATTGTATTGTAAAAGTGCAAACAGTAAAAATCAAACTACTTACCTCTCTAATATCGATTCGATTATCATTGTTCGTATCGATGACTTTTAATAACTCATTAACTAATTCACGAGTATCATCCTCTGATAGTTGCTATTAACAATAGACAAAAGTAGAAAAGAACAATACTAAAGAGATTATTAAGCATAGTCAATAAACCAAGTGTACTTACTGTTATAAAATGTTGTCGTTTTTTAACAGAAAATTTCGTACTTACCAATCATTACCGTTGACTTTTTTTTAAAAATTAACTAAAAGTTTAACTTGATAATTCACAAAAACGTGAATTACACAATTCAACACACGTACGAATCAAGGATATTTAGACTTCATTGTGAACACGATACATATAGATAAATTTGTCAGGAATCTAATGGTCCATATCAATAATTCCATTCATTTTATGATACAATTCATTGAGATAGTGGCTGGTGGTAGTCCCAGCATAGTGTACGCGATGTTGAGTCACCTAGCCTAGTAGCCACATGACAACTTGGTTGGTAGAATCGGATCTGCACTAAAGTGGACTTGACATATTTGACATCGATCAATACCCAGTGATTAACCAATTTTAGACACAGTACATTCAATGTTATCAATAAGAAATTATTTCATTCCCGATATTATTGATTAGGTGATTTGGACTTCGCAGATGATCTACCTCTTTATGACTATATACACGAACAAATGCGGGTCAAAACAATCCGTGTGTCAGAACCCTCTGCATCAGTAGGCCTCAACATACACAATGGAAAACTCAAGGTCCTCGAATACAACATGGAGACCACTAACACAATTTCACTTGATGAAGAAGCTCCTGAAGAGGTATAATCTTTCATGCAACTATACAACATCATTGAAGAACAATGAGGATCCGATGCAAGTGTAAAGGCAAAGCAAGTATAGAACTCATACAGTTGAGAAATATATGGAACTCAAAACAACTATCAAACAATATCAAAGTCAGAATCTTCAATACGAACACCAAGACAAGTATGCTGTACGGAGCTGAAACTTGGAGTACTACCACAACCATCATCAAAACAATACAAGTAATTACAAATTATTGTCTACACAATACACTCAATGTCCGTTGACCGGATAACATCAGCAACAGCCTACCGTGGGACAGAACAAACCAACTTCTATCTGAAGAGGAAATAGACGTCGGAGTTGGATAAGGCACATATTGTAGAAATCACTAAACTGCATCCTAACTTGTAATCGTCAAGGGAAATGGAAAAGTGGCACATTGAAGAACATGATGCATCTGGAATGGAAAGCAGACGTCAAAAAGAATGAATAGCAGCTGAAATGAACTGGAAAGGATTATCCAAGCAGAGTTGGATAGAGAATGCTGGTGGGCGGCCTATCTTCTCCTACAAGGGATAGCAGGAGTAAGTAAGTAAGCAAGCCATAACTTCTTACTAGTTAAAACATGTGCAAACGTATGCGTTTAACATTTATTTTAGGAAATTTTAAACATCTATGTAGTTGACATTTGATTTTCTGATTGACTTTCAGATTCACGTATATTAATGTCAACGGAATATTGAAGTATAATACTGTATCATCTCGTTATGGATATATTTTATTGAATTATTTTCGTATAAATTTCAATTTTGAATTCGTTTACAAAATCTTACACATTGTACATTATACATTCTAAGATTTTGACGAAGAATACATACAAAGAGTTTGTGTTAGCAGCTTACAATTAACTCAATAGACTGATGAATAAAGCTTTGATATCTGAAGTTTTAGCTATGAACATCGCTATTGAAACAGAAGTTGAATAGGTTTAATGAGTCGTGAATGAGATGAACTATGAATTCCTAATTCGAATGTTATTTATAATATACATTTATATCTGCATCATTTAACTTTGATTTTGTTGAGGTATTTGATCAGCATATTCCCTAATGTAGTGAATTATGAACAAAATTATTTATAATAAATCGGCGGCCTGTTTGAGCATCTGGGCTACCTGTTCCTGCCATCTAGATATTTCAACAAATTATCTATTTTTGTTTGTTTTAATATATCATTATGTCTATTAATCGCATAACCTATTCTGCTGTGTTTTGGGAAAGTGTACAACCTTTCGTTGTCAAAGTTGCAAGAATCTCAATAAAAGAGAATGTGGTTGCTGGCAATATACAACGAAAAGAATGCACATTATCCAGATGTTCATTTACTTGACTGTTAACATCTAACTGGCGATCACTCAATATTTATCGCCAGGACCGACCAAGAAGAAAGAAACAGAAACTTGTTGAAATACTTTGTGCTGAGAATTCTATATTATACCAAAAATATAATATTGAATAAAACTAATAATAATAAAAAAATATTTGAGACCATGAACCGATCAATCTTAGATCACCACTGAAAACCTGAAAGCACTGGACGACCACTAAGTCCTGGTACGGGACTCCTTAATAGTGCACATCCACGACCCAATACATAAGACTCGAGCCCAGGACTTTCAGTTTCGCGTATGAACGCCAAAACTTTAGATCACGGAGCTGGCCAACATTCAACGTTGTTAATGTCTAACTTTAACCAATCCATAATATTATTCAACTGCTGTGAAGTCTCACACTAGGACGAAACTTCTAGTCCAACACTTCTAGGTTATCAATGATAATCTAACATTGATCGGTTCATGATCTCAATTACAATTCAACAGTCTCCATAATTTCATACTAATAATTATGTATTTATTTTTCTCTTGTTTTATGTAAACAAAAATAATATCAATTAAGATATTTGTTATTTAATATTGAAATCCATTCAATTTAACTGATAAACATATAATGTATTGTTTACTATATGTAAATTAGGCAATCGTTTCTAAAGTATATGCACAATTAAATTTATCAGACCATATCATTGTCAACCTTTGTTTTTTCATTATTGTTACTTATGCTGCTAAGCAACATTAAACAATTTTCAATCATATTTCCCATATTGTGTTCACTTGACATATATACATATATGTTATTATTACTGTTAAGAATGTGACTGATTTGCAGAAGGGAACAGATAAGTGCAAATGTAATAATAATCACCTACCACAATGAGTGCATATTATCGAATGTAAGAGTAGGCTAAAAGCGATAGGGGGGTAGGGTGTTCAAACCATAGCATAGCGCCAATGTATCGTATCATCATCATTATCATCAAAACTTTCACACACACAAATCAAAAGGATAAGCAACTTAGAATTCATTTTAAAACTTAATAATTACTTAAACTGGCAATCTGAACACAGCCACGAAAAATACAATAGACCATCATATAATGCTAACTCAGTCTGACACGATAATGATTACTACTACTACTACTACTACTACTACTACTACTACTACTACTACTACTACTACTACTACTACTACTACTACTACTACTACTACTACTACTACTACTACTACTACTACTACTACTACTACTACTACTACTACTACTACTACTATTACTACTACTACTACTACTACTACTACTACTACTACTACTACTACTACTACTACTACTACTACTACTACTACTACTACTACTACTACTACTACTACTACTACTACTACTACTACTACTACTACGACTACTACTACTACTACTACTACTACTACTACTACTACTACTACTACTACTACTACTACTACTACTACTACTACTACTACTACTACTACTACTACCAATAATAATAATAGTAATAATAATGCTATTGTACTGTCACTACTTCCTTTACTCTACGATTTAGCTTCATAATCTATGTTTTTATGTGAATATGGTGTGGCAACTTGAAGCAATGCATATATGCATCAGATAATACATTGCATTCTACTGACATGTTTATCACCTTTCACTTTGGTATAAGTAACATGACATGTTGGGAGCAGTTTACAGATGAAAAAAAAGAAACTGTTTGTGTGAATAATGTGGATTAGTAAGGTGTTATATTAAATACAATAATACTTTCTTCAAATTAAATGGAAGTATAAGTAATCATCAAAATAAGACAGGAAACAATCATTGTTGCATTGTGTAGATAATATTATAAACCGAAGTTAGTGAAACAGTTTTTGACAAGACCTGACCAGAAAAAATTGGACAAGTATTCCATCCCAGTATGGAACTCGGCAGTACACATTCACAACTTACTACCAATTGACTAGTGACTACTTTCCACGAAACCCATCACAAACGAGTTTCAGGCATGTATGAGTTAGTCACCCACCACTGATATTAGATGATTGATTAATATCGTGAATTGATTGAAGTTAAGTTCTCAACTGTTTATAGGTTCAGCTCTCACTTTAGGACTTTTGGGTTACATGTTCGAAAGATGATGAGATCGTACCAACAACTACTAAATGAATGCTTTGCCAGAACTAACTAACTAACTAACTAACTGTTCAGTGCCTTTTAGTTTCCACTTATTATCTAACTAACCTCAATCTTTATTACAAACTAAAGGATAGCCAAATTACTAATGTACTGAGTCCAAACGAATGAATATAAAGAACAGAACAATTCTCAAAACAGTGCCTCTACATAAAAAAAGATAAAAAATACAAAATAAACGTGAATAAAATACAATTTAACAAAAATGATATCAAGATTAAAGTTTTCTAGGTCAGTCATCATTCAATAAAATGAAAACCTAATATCAGTATAGGGTTGTGGAGATGATTAAGTTATTGATTGAGATCGTGAACCGATTAATGTTAGATCACAATAGAAAACCTGGCAGCACTGGACAGTCGTCACGTCCTACTGTAGGATTCCTCCACAAACCTATACTGATAATTACCATGTGCTTACTAGTGACTAGCTTCGTGACGGAATTCTCGGAGTTCCAGTGAGAAGGCATGACCGCGAGATTCAAACCCAGGACCTGTCAGTCTCGCGCGCAAGGGCTTTACCACTAGACCACTGAACCGGTCGACATCCAACTGTATCAATATCTAACTTCAACCAACCCACGAAATTTCGGGTGCGCTCTGTTGAAGAGTTCCATACTAGGATGAGTTGGCCATTCAGTGCTTCCAGGCTTTCCATGGTGGTCTACCTTCAACTGACTCATGTATTCAATTATTAAGTTCCTACAATCTCCACAAAACCCCTGTCTGATTATAAATTAGTATATACTGATAAAGATAATAATAATATGACAACTTATGGATGATTGTTTAAAGTTTATGAGATCTAGTTATTTTACATGGATTGCTAAAAAATCAATGAATCATGTGCTCACTAGTAACTGACTTCAATATGTATTTTCTGGAGTTCTAGTGAAAAGCCTTGACCAGTGGAGTTCAACCGTATCTTTTTTGAGGCAGTAACTCATGGAAGACAATAGTGGACGATGGTGCAATTTCGTAGATTGGTTGAAGTTAGATATTAACACTGTTGGATGTCGCCCTGTTTAGTGATCTGGAGGTCAAGCGTTTGCGCGCAAGACCGATAGGTCCTAGGATCGAATCCCACAAGGCGGGATCGTGAATACGCACTGCTGAGGACTCTCATACTAGGATTAAAAGGCCGTCCAGTGCTTCTAGATTTTCCATGATGGTTTCGCTTTAATTGACTCATGAATTCAACTATTAAGTCGCTACAACCTCCACGGAACCTCTTTCTGATAATTAACTTAACCTTTCCACACATATATTGAAAATACAGTGAGTGTATAAACTGATTAAATGGTTAACTGTAATGCATTTCAAGGTATGATGGTTTCAGTGATGTTGGGAGCATGCTTGAAGTACTCACTATCGTGTTGAACGGTACAAACATAAAACTTTTTAATCTTAATTTTCATCAAAAGGAAAGAAACGCTACCACTAATCACCAAACATGAATGAGGTTGAAATAAATTGTATCGAAAATATTTGGGATTTAGATAAATCCTCATTGAAGATAGGCTAACTGAAACTCATTCACTATCTAATCTTAGTTGTCTCTACAATGACAACCAACTGTTTAATCCCAGAATGGAACTTCTTAACAGTAGCATTTCACGGCCCCGTCTTATAGAGTAATATCCAGGATCGGTTTTGCTCATGAAATCAGTTTTTGATTTAAACTGCAAAAATTTTTAAAAGTGTATATACGTTCCCGTAAAATATTCATACAAAAATATGGAACAAATATATGAAACCTAATAAACTCATCTAGAGTAATTAAGGTCACTTCAAGATAACTCGCGCCCTTCACTTTCTGTTCATTATAAATATCTGAATTTGCATAGTCATTGGTTACATAAGCAGACAGTCAGTTGTGATTCAAATAACCCCTCGATATTACTGATTCGAGTCCGATAGGTAGTATAATGTTCCCTAAGTATTGTAGATGTATTATAGTAACAAGTCCCAGATAATTCAATACCTGGGTTGCAGGTTTCCCACTGACTGTCTCTAGTCTCCTTACATCAAAATAGTGTATTCCAATGTCCGGTCAATAAGATTTGTGACTATATTGCAACATGATCAGTAAAATCCAATTAACAATACATTTTAGTTAATATAGTGTTGGTCACTACTCAGTGACACTTGTAATTCCCAATCAATTTTTCTTCTGGTTACATTGGATTAAACTATGACATCCTTTTAATCCTAATCTGTCATAACAATGTTTACAAGTATTTCGCTCCAATATTTCAGGTCTACAAAGATATTAATGAATGTAAAGGGATTTATAAACAATAAAAACAACTCTATTTCGTCCATGAAAACTTTGGGAAACACCATGTTCATATTGTATCTAGAAATATTCAATAACTCGTCGATAACGTAGATCTGTCTCATGGAATTAATAATCTTTTACGACCTCCAGTGTAAGAATGTATTGAGAGAGAAAAGATGTCTGACATTATTAGGAAAACTTATGTATTAATCTTAAAGAAGTATTTTAAAATAGAACAAGAGGTTGTTAAATACTTTCAATATTTGAATGGTAATATGTAAACAGAATTCCCCTGAAGTTATCCAAAACTCTTGGATATAATAACCCTAGAATGTTACATTAATTTTTAATTAGATATTAATATGATATTTTTCAAATATTGAAAGGAAGGTAATATCATTAACTTTCATACTGTTTGGATTATAATAAGCAATTCTTTTATATAAATTAACTAAGAAGGTATGGTGTTCTTGTTTCTGGTGCTTCTTGACAAAAATGAATCACATCAAACTGAATGATTACAGACAACCAACGAGGAAACTGTTGGGGACGATAGATTCCCAAAACTCATATTTTGTCATTTTATCTTATCGATTAACTTATCGATTAAATGTTTAAATATTTGAATGGCAGTCAATTGATGAACTTATCGATTAAATGTTTAAATAACAGTCAATTGACGAACTTGTCGATTAAATATTTGAATGACAGCCGATTGATGAACTTATTGAGTAATGTTTAAAAACTTTTACCATGACAATATCGATTATAAATATTTGTATAATTATGCTTGATTTGTATGCCTGATTGACCTGGTATCTGCTGGTTGCCTGTAGAATACACTTCTCTATCTTACCAAGACTTCTTGATCGAGTTAGCTAAGTTGGGGACAACGGACCAGAATAGCCTATATAGTCTCTGAATCCTTGATCCTTCGTTCCGTCCAGAATAAGCCGAATAAGTAGTAGTATTCAAGTATAATGAACCTAACAGTAACTGGCAGTGAAATATAGTAAACCAGAGGAACCAATAAGGAACAGAGAAGATAAGATAATCACTAAGATTCAAAAACAGTTGAGTTGAACACTTTGAAGAACTCTTGAATAAGCCAGTTCCACTGGAACCACCGGATATAGAAGCAGCACACACAGACCTCACCGTAGATGTCACTCCATTAATGATCGAAAAAATCGGAATGGCTAACAGAAAAATTATGAGTGTTAAAGCAGCAGGACCTGATAATATACCAGCCGAAGCACTAAAGTAAGATATAAAAGTAACTGAAAATATGCTTAACCTTCTATTCAAGAAGATATGGGAGGACGAACAGGTGCCGACGGACTGGGAAAAGAATACCTTATCAAGATGCCAAAAAATGAGATCTGAGCAGATGTGAGAACTGTAGAGGCGTTACACTAATGCCAGTACCAGGGAAATTCTTCATCAGTGTTGCTGACTCGGATGAATGACTAAGTAGACGCTCAACTTCGAGATCAACAGGCTGGATTCCGTGCGCAGACCAAATTGAGACACTACAAACCATCTTCTAATAATCAATTGAATGGAACTCGTCACTATACATCAACTTCATTGATTATGAGAAGGTGTTTGACAGTTAGAATAGGAAGAATTTATGGAAACGTCTTCGACACTATGGTGTACCTGAAAAGGTCATCAACATAATACAGAATTCATAAGACGAACTACACTGCAAAATCATGTTTGAAGGACGGCTGATAGATGCATCACAAGTGAGGACCGGTGACAGACAAGGCTGACTACTCTCCCTCTTCTTCTTTTTTCTGGTGGTCGACTGAATAATAAAGACCTCGACATCTTAGAAGACGCACGCGATACAATGGACAGTATGGATGCAACTAAGCGATTTGGACTTCGCAAATAACCTACCTATTCTATCCCATATACGTCAACAAATTCAGGTCGATACAAACAGTGTAGAGGCAGCCTATTCATCATTAGGTCTCAATATCCACAAGGTAAAAAGAAAGATCCTCAAATTCAACACGGAGAACAATAACACAACCACACTTAATAAAGAAAATCTGGAAGAGATGGTGACTTTCATGTACTTGACCAGCATCATCGATGAACAAGCAAGATGCTGTTGTAAAGGCAACGATTGGCAAAGTAAGGACAGAAGTCCTTCAAATGAAAAAACGTACGCATCTCAAAACAAATGTCAACCAACATCAAAGTTACAATCTTTATTACGAACGTCATGACAGTCCTATTGTATGGAGCTAAAACGTGGACAACTATTTATAAAAAGTTGTTTACGCAAGATATTGAATATCCGTTGGCCTGATACCATCAGCAAAAGCCTACTGTGAAAGAAAACAAACCAAATTCCTTCTGAAGAAGAAATTAAAAATAGACGTCAAAGGTGGATAGGATGCACATTACGAAGATTACTAAACTGCATCACAAGGCAAATCTTAACTTGTAATCATGAAGGAAAACAGAAAAGAGGCAGACTAAATAACACATTGCTCCAAGAATGGGAAGCAGACGTCAAAAAAAATAAATAGCAACTGTAATAAACTGGAAAGGATTGTCCAGAACAGAGTTACATCGAAAATACTGGTGAATGGTCTATACTTCTCTATGAAGGATAACAGCCATAAATAAAGAAGTAAACGTTCTACATAATTACATAGGTAAATATTTATCAAGCAAACTTGGCTTACATTTCTAGCATGTTTCGGTATGATACATTCGACTAGTTTGCCCATGAACATTTCAAGTTCTTCACCATCTATAAATCCATTACCTAAAATTTTGGTAAATCATATTGAAATATGGAATATAAGAATTACACATAGTATAAGTACAAAATGTTAATCTGTTAAATCTAATTAAAAATAACAAAAATAACCATGTTTCAATGATCTTAAAATCGATATTTCTTTCCTTACCCTGTTTTTAAAAATGATTATAATGATAAAGCTTTAAAGAATCAATAATAAGCTTCTATAGTGAAAACATTTCAATTTATTGATTAGGATCATGAACTGATCAATATTTGATTATTATTGAAAACCTAGAAGCACCAGATGACCATTTCGTCCTAATATGGGACTTCTCTACAGTGCACATTCATGATCCTGTACGTGAGATTTGAGCTAAGGATCTTCAATACCGCATGTGAAAGAAACTCAAAAATCTCCATAACCCCATTCTAATAATATTAATAATTTACTTAGACTCATTCCATATGAATTGAAAAATGGGTTTTAAGTCACAAAATTATTTCCCACTTCATCATTAACTTGAACGCATAGTTTAGTTATATTGTAGTGGACAACCAAGTGTGTATAGAACAAAATTACAGAGTTACTTGTTAAAAGAAAAAAACTAAATAGTAAATCGTTAATTTACAAAACATCATTCCATCATATCAAACCGGACTGTTGCCGTTGCAAACATCAATCCATTGTCTTACATTTCATTGTTCATACGTTTTCTTACAAATTCCATTGTGTTTTCGCTCTTTTTTTCTTGATCTTCCCCCATCTTCTGTTTCCAGACATTAAGTTCTTTAACTGGCGTTAATTACTACTTATATTAATATAAGTAGCACTCACCACAATATTAGTAAATATTATTTTTAATATCAAAAGCAACCTAAATCATAATGAATATTCCAAACAATAAGATAGCTTGTAATTAGATTGGTTTTTATTTATTCAGTGAAATACTACTGATAAGATAGTATTATTGAACAGGACAGCTACTATTTGAAAAAATTCATGTACTAGAAACTTCTAGAAGTATTTATATCACTATGAAATAAAGAAACCTGGATAGCATGAACGGGAAAAGTATCCTATTTAACATATTTATTGTACATGTTAATACTAATGACTAAAATTGAACTGATCACTTGTTAGATGATTCATATTTTCACCATTACAATCTAAAGTTCAGCATTTACATTCATAATATTAAAAAAAAACATGAAATAATAACATCAAGGAATACCTTGAAGATTATTGAGTTTCGATTGAGATCATGAATTAATTTATTTTAGACCACCACTGAAAACCTAAAAGTATTGAACGGCTGTTTTATTCTAGCTCGCGCTCACCTGAGGAGTCCCATACTGGGACGAAACGACCATCTAGTGCTTACAAGTTTGCAATGATATTTCACTGGTTGAAATCATGAGTCAATCGAAGCTAGATCACCATGGAAAACCTGGGGACACTGGACGGCGGTTTCGTCCTAGTATGGGACTCCTCACCAGTGTGTATCCACGATCCCCCCCGCAAGATTCGAACCCAGGACCTATCAGTCTAACATTGATCGATTCATAATCGCAATCAAAACTTTATTTGTTATTAACTTTACAGTTAATCAGGATGATATTCAAGTGTTGCTTATAGTTACTAACTCATTCACTATCCAATTATGCTTTCAATGAGTATATACAAAAATATATCATAGATACCAAAAGAATTGATTTTGGCTAATGAATGGTAAATTAGAATATTTAATTAAAATGCAACAGTGCGTTAACTAAGTAAAAATCAATAAATGGCCATCTAATTGCAAAACAATTGAAAAACTCATATAAATGAAATGTGAATTAATGATAATACGAAATTAGTTCATTTCAATTTATTTAAAATCTATCAAATGGATATATTTAAGGTTTGTCTCCAAGCAAAAGTGTTTCCCCCTTGTTCATAGATTACCTTGTTACATAACACAAATAAACTATGATAGAACAGTATCAATCCATCATGATTCAAAGTAAAGAGAAGAACAATGTCTGTGATGTTTAAAGTGTAATTTTAATAAATCGTTTGCCTAAAACATTTATAACACTAAACTAGGGAAAATAAAATAGAGATCAAACAATACACTGTAGTCTGAATGATTTCTAATTTGATTTACTATACAGAATATTGTATGAATTGTTTATAAAATAAGAGTGATCTGGTTGACATCTAAACAAATGTTTGTAGAGATGGTGGAGAATATTTGTAGCTCAGGTGGATGATTTTGATAAAGTTTTGTTCTTTGAGCTCAGAGAACAAAACTCCATCGAAATCATCCACCTGAGTTACAAATCTTCTCCACCATCTCAAAATCATATGAGTGTAATATGCTTCTTGTTGTTCGAAAATGGGAGAATTTCGTCAAAAGGCAGGCTTCCACTCGAGAACAACTATATTTTCTCCGTGAATGTCTTCGCCAGCATGTTCTGCCAACAAGTGTAAATACGACCAAAACAATCAAGCTCAGATAACAAACCTCCATCAAAATGTTTGTAGAATTTCAATCTTTACACTTTACTCTTTCTTATATGATTCGATTATAGTCTTTAGAATGAAACTTCTTTGATCATCATTGCGTTCTACCTTACAGTTATTTTAAGTGTGCATTGGAAACAATTTATGAAGCACACAAAGCATATTCTGTACATAATATAAAAATATATGGGTCGATAATTGTCTACACAATATATTATTATTAGCTTCATTCAATATTATATTTTTGGTACAGAATATAATTCTCAGCAAATTTATTTCAACAAGTTTCCTTTTCTTATTTCTTAGTCGATCCTGACGATGCAGAACTGGCCTGCATCAACACCTGAACAAAGAATAGGAAGTGAAGTAGTCAAACGCTTTGACAACTTCACTTATCTCCGAAGTCTGACGAAGTCTCAGCACGGATTCGAAAAACTCGTTTGACCCTTGACAAATTACGTCACTTATAGCGAAGGCGAGATATCCGTCTATCATTTAAGGGACAAGTATACTGCGCAGCGGTTCGTTTTGTTCTACTTTACGACTGCGAGACGTGGCTATTAAGAGTAGAGGATATTCGAACGCCACTAAAATTTGACTACAGATGACTCAGAAATATTACTCGCATCTGCTGGGATCACTGCGTAAGTAATAGAGAGGTTTGATGCATGGTATTAGGGAATGATGGTAAATTAGTTGATGAGGTTGTAAATCTTCATCGACTAAGATTGTTGGGCTACGTTTTACGTATGCATGAACACTGATTACCAGGATGCGCAACTCAGACTAGTGTTAGGGATGGTTTTAAGAAAGTTTGAGGCGGTCAAACCAAAACGTATCATTTATCCATAAGGTCACTAACTTCTGACATGAGCTACATTGGTAGATACAGATTACTTGATTGGTGTCGTGCGATTATTGTAACCAATGGTTGTAGACTCTTGGAGACATGGTTCAGAATTGATCATAGTGGCGTCGGTGTTTACACTCTTTGTCCTTCCGTAAACTATGAGATTAAAATTGCTTTATATTTTTCTTTCTACCAAATAATTCTTTCTTCCTGTACTATATCCTTATACACAATCCTTCTTTTATATATTACAACCACTGAAGTGACTACTTCTATGAATTCGGTGTTCATCTTGTTGTGCTAATGAGGTGTGGCAACTTGGATCAATCTACATATGTGCCTGGTGCTACATTGTAGCTGACTGACTGACTAATCGTCAGTTTAGATGTTAGCCGTTCAGGAATCAAAATATGTTCATTTTTTCAATGCATATTATCAGTCACTATGAAGTCACTGATTATACTTTTTGGTAACTTATACAACGAAAGATCGTAAACTTTTCATAAACGCACCTGAACAGATTATGCGATTAATAGATATTATGGTGTATTGAAACAAACGAAAGAAATTGATAACTTGTTGAAATATCTAGATGGCATGAACAAGTAGCCCAAATATTCAAGCTGACCATCAATATACCAGCTGTCAATATCATCTGTTATTAAAACCCAAGCATTTAAAGAACAAAATACGTTGAAAGTCATGTTATAGTCTATTTTTTTTGAAATAACTAACTGTTTCACAGAATTCAGTCTAAAATCGGTCTGTTATTACTTGAGAAAAATGATTCTGGAAGTGAACAAACTGGATATTTCCATTAAGTACCAGCACCCTTATGAAGGTTGGTGTATAAACAAACGATTTTTTTCTAGATTCCCTTACAATTGTCTTCATTCATTTAAAACTGTATACAATACACTGTAATAATAAATGAATTAAATTTATCACCACATAGAAACATAATCCATTAAGGTTAAATAAAATCAATATTACAGACTATACATGACAATACTCAAAACATTAAATACTTTACAACAATACATATAAAAATAGATAGTGGCTGGCAGTGTAATCCAGGACGCACGTTTCGTCCTATGTAAGACTCGTCGGTTGGATGTACCTGCATCTTAGAGTTGATGCTCAATATCAAGTGAATTAATACATATGAGATTTTAATATCTTCATTGATACATCAGTCTCATTTATTGTTAACGACATTATTCATTCACGTTCAAACGATTTTATGTTTGGTCGAATAATTTTGAATATAGTAGTAAGTAAACACAATATGATTATGCAATCACTTTTTTCTTTATATTTTCGACAGAATGATTTCAAATCAACGGTGATCTTTGAATTAGAAATTAGTAGGCATAATGAATGTTGAAATTGTATTACTATATGAGTCTATCTAAAAGTCTTAACGTCATTTGGTGTATGCTACTTAAATTGACTGATATAAGTAGTATGTAACAACAATCGGAAGTGGACTGTCTGACAATAGGAAGATTGAGAACATTGAATTGAAGACAACAAAAATATAAGCAAAGAGTAATTGTTATAACAACATGGATAAATGAATAATGAAGTTTGTAAGAGACAACTGATGGAAGATGTGAAAATGATTTATTTGATGTATCGTTTTAATATTTTATGAAGACA